TTAAATATATTTATTTAATTGCAAGTTAATATGTAAAATTTTGTATAATTACATTTTAATTTAAATGTATCAAGTTGATGTATTATACTTAATAAGATGGCTAATATTATTTAATATAAATAGATAAAAATAAAAATTCAAATTAAATATAAATGAAATACAATACAAAGCTCTAGTAGATTTAGGTTACAAATAAATTAGTCTAAGTTTTATTTTCTAATAAGCATAGAATAATAGATAATATATAATATAAAAGTTGTATAAACAATAACAATATGTATACTTAAAGCATAACTTTACCTTCAAATTTTTAAAATAATAATAATAATTAATATTTTAATTAATATAGTATTAAAAAACTAATTTAAAAAATTACAAAAAACTGCTATTCACATTATAAATTTTTGCTATTAATATATAATATGTAAATTATAATCAGAATTAGCTAGAATTAAAATAAGTAGATTTTCATAATATTAGTCAAATAGCAAAAATTCAAAATGCAAATAGTAATTTTTTAAATAATTATATTAAATAAATAAATATTTTAATAAAAACTTATAGATAATTATTTTTTTATAAAAAATTTAATTCTTTAGTATAGATATTAGTATAAATATTAGTACAAACTATATATATTATAGAAATAGATTTTTTAAAAAGCCTATTTTGTTTTTATTAAAGCAATTTAAAATTTTTTATAAGAAAATACAAATCTAATTTATGTATTTATAATTTTTATAATTTCATCTATTTAAAAAATCATAAAAATTTTTTGTTTTTTAAGTAAAGATAAGTCAAAACAATTTTATTTTCAAATTTAATTTCAGATTTTGTTTTCTAAAATAATTTTATTCTTATATATATTACAAACAATAATACAAATATTAGTATAAGTAATAATATAAATATTAGTATAAACATTAGTATGTATAAACATTAATATAAATATTAGTAAATTCATTGTATTAGACAATTAATAAAAATATAATTATATAAGAGAAAAAATTTTTTGTGAATTTACAAATCAAGTCTATAAACTCCTATCAGTTCATATAAATATTTACCAATCTAAAAAATTTTTGTATCTACTTAATTATTCTAATTTAGGTAAATACAGAATTATATAAGCTGATAGATGTTCATAATCTGATTTGTAATAGCATAAACTGCATATAAATTAGATTATATCACAAAAGCATATGCAATAGCTAGTGTTTAAGGCATGCCTATGAGCATTTGTAGATATGCTCTTGAACTAAAAAAAACATGCCCATAAGCATATACATATAAGTGTTACTAAGAAAAATAAATAAGTTTATTTATTATTATAAATAATAAATTTTGGCATGATCAGGATAGCTATCTAAATTGCAGGTTTTATAATAAATGTTACTATTGTTACTACAAGACAATTAGAAGATCTTTGATTCTGACTAATATGATTACATAAATATATCTGTCATATGTGCTATATACGTATATGGGCTGCTATCAATAGAAATCAAGCAGGTTAATATTTTTTTTAAAAAACAATACCATAATTTTTGCTACTTATATTTTGATAAATTTTAATGTTATTCTTATAATTGAATAATCAAAAAAAGCTTAGATCTTAAGCTTTCATTTGACTATTTATTTATAATATTATCTTCAAAATTCAGTGAAATATTAGCAATAAAAGTTAAGGCATTCACTTTTTTATAATGTCAATCTGTTTGATTCTATTGATAGCAACCCATATTTTCTAGATTAACAGATTTTGTATAATAGATCTGAGCCACAGAACTGTAGTACCTCAGAAGTAAATTCACCTTTCACAAGATATATAACTTTAGATAATTCCTAAAATTAGCTAATCATATTATCTGCAAAGGGCATGCCCCAAAAATTTTCTGTGCCCTGAACCCTAGCAATAGCATATTGACATATTAAGGCTAATTTTGCATAATTAATAGAGCACAATCTGTACATAAAATGATAAAATTAGAGCAGAAGAGCAGAATAACTATAACTGATTTTTATTAAAAGTATCAAAAGAATTCGGAAATGTAGACAATAAATTAGCATGTGCATGTAAAAAATTAGGAGTAACTCTTGATAAGTGGTCGTAACTAGAGGTGTGAATAACTATAATGTGTTACGTGCATTCTTTGACATAACACATTATAATCACGATAGGCATTCATACCTCTGGTCACAACTATAGCTTGGAACTGGTGTTATTTTTAAACACGGTTTTAGTCATGTTTAAGATATAAAAAATGAAACTATAGTCACAACTTTTTGCATAATTTGCAGCATAATTTTAAAAAATTTATCGCATAATTCGCGTAAACTGATTTGTGGTCTATCGTAGCAGAAAATAGTCCGTAGATCTACTGGCGTTGTGTGACCTACATTCGTGTTTGTACAAGCTTCAAACTTGTATAAATGATCACTACTTACTTTTTTTTTTTTACCTTCCTCCGCATCCTCCTTAGGGATCACTGATATCTCTCTAAACCCAGTGTTATCGTTCTGCGAAGATCTGTTGGCTTCTGTAATGCTCGGTCCCTGCGAGTTACATCACTACTTACTTCTTTTAGTGGTTTTATTAATTAATCGACTGATCAAGTTTTAACGTTAATTTGTCCGTATTCGTGCAATTTATACAAGCATAAATAGTAAGTGGCTTATTATTTCTCGTTTCTTGCAAATTCTTTCGCTTAGTCTTTCGCCACAGTGACGATTAGTGATTATCAATCCATCTGTTCGGTAAAAAATTCGATTAGAAAAAAATAAAATTAAAAAAAATATATAAATCTAAGGGAGGCACGGGTATTATGGTACAGGGGGGTATTGTGATACATTTATAATCCACTGGTCAGAATTGAACAATTTAGTATCACTCGATTCATTCACTGAGACGAATTGAATGATACAAAAATCAAACCGTTCTGATCAGGACTTGGGAAAAAAATTGGATATTATAGTGTAGTTAATATGCTATTTTTCTCATTTTCCAATTTGGGCAATTTCAGAAGCGATCAGCGAAATAAAAAATAAAAATGTCATCTGCATATACTGTAATATGTATAGTGTACCATTACGTCCAACCTCAAAAAGCATAACAGATTTTAGATGATTTTTTTTGAAAGTTTAAAATATCAAGTTTTTTCTAATTTAGATTTTTTATTATTATTAGATAGTAGGTCGAATGCTATGTTGTAAACATTGTGAATAAATACACTTTTTATGAAAATTTTTACCATCAGTAACTCTTAGGTGTACCATAATACCCGCACCTTCCTTATATTTGATGTTAATTGAAGAATCAACTGCAAGCAGCCTTATATACAATTAATATTATTTTAATATAAATATTGGTAGAACTATTATCTTATTTATATTAAGACTGAATTCACACTACTTTTTATCTTATCCCGTATTGCACAATTTTGGATAATCTAATGATATAACAAAAAAAAACATTCATCAGATAAAAATAGTCGGATTTCTATTAGATGATCTAGTTGATTCATAGGTAAGCATAAAAATTATTTGTATTGCATTTAACTCGAGAAATAACTAATAAAGAATTAATGCTTATAGAAAATTCGGATTGTATACGTGATTTTTATATGACAATTTAAAGCTGAACAAGTAGGAATAGGAAATTTGATGATTACATGAAAGAGCTTCAACTTCATTTTATTATTTTTACAAGTTTTGCCGCTTTTACTAGTTTCGTCACCTTTCGCCAGTTTTGTCACTTTTCACCAGTTTCGTCACCTTTCACCAATTTTGCCACCTTTCGTCATTTCGCCACTTCTCTTTTTTAATGTTTTTTTGCCGAAAGTCGAAACCAGTTTCGTCCTTCGCCAGTGGCGAAACCTCTAGGTTTCGCCTAACAACTCTAGGTGTGCCGAAAAAACCTTCAAGGAAATTAGGAAAAACTTATGATCCTGTATGTTTTATTATTAATTAGAAAATCAAAGTGTTTATTTTCATTGTAACTTCCTATTTTTTATGATATAAAGTTGATCGTTGAACAAGGATGGTATGATTGGTGGAAATATAGGGGTAATTGTCCTTTTTTTTAAAAAAAAAAAAGTTTTAATCAATGATCCAAATGCAAAATTAACGTTGATTATATGTTTTGTCATGGGATTTTTAAAGGATTTTTTGGATCAAACATTATGGACGAAAATCTTGGGAAACCTACCAAAAACTTTACGATGCTTGCACCTCCACCTAACATTACAGGGAATTTACATATAGGACATGCTTTGACACTTAGCATCCAGGTCTGTTCTTACATATTGGAATGATAATGATGACAACTTTTGATTAATTTATATGAAATATACGTTTTGCCTTTCAGGATGCAATTGTTAGATGGTATCGAATGTCTGGTTATCGGGTATCATGGATACCCGGAACAGATCATGCTGGTATTGGAACACAATCTGTTGTTGAACGGCAGCTTTATAAAAAAAAAAAAGTAATTTTCAGGTTCAACTTTCAAATGCAGTGTATATTTCAATTAGTTGCAGGTATAAATTTTTCCTTACTTCTGATATAGCTTACTCGGCATGATCTTGGTCGCGAAAACTTTATCAATGAAGTGTGGAAATGGCGTGAACTTCATGGGAATAGAATAATCGAGCAAATGGTGAAGCTTCCTCTTTGGAATCTTTACCGTTGTTAAATTTAATTTCAAATTTAAAAATCAATCAATTTATATATAAGAGACGTTTAGGTGCATCATTAGATTGGAAAAATCTATTTTTTACTATGGATTCTCCTCGGTCGCATGCAGTGACGAACGCGTTTGTCAAGCTTTTCAATGATGGAATGATTTACAGAGATACAAGACTTGTTAACTGGTGCTGTGCTTTGGGAACTGCGATTTCGGATATCGAAGTAAGTAAGCTATCTTAATTTTAATTATAGTTTAGAACCTGACAATAATTATGAAAAGGTAGATTATGAAACTGTACCAAAAAGAACATTTTTGAAAGTTCCTGGTCATCAAGAAAGGTAATTGCTTAAAGTGTTCAAATTATTTAATATTTTGCTATATTAACTTTATTTTTAAATTCAGTGTCGAATTTGGCGTTTTACACAAATTTGCTTATCCTATTGCTGACACATCAAGCGGCATCTCGGAATTAGTCGTAGCAACAACCAGAATTGAAACAATGTTAGGAGATTGTGCTGTGGCGATACACCCTGATGATCCGCGATACAAGGTTAATTTCGTCAAATAACATTTAGTCAAATTTAATAATGTTAACAACCCAAATTGATTTTTTAGTCTCTACATGGTAAAAAAGTTATTCATCCTTTACTAAATAAGTGGATGCCAATAGTATGTGATGCTGAATTAGTAGATATGCAGTTTGCAACTGGAGTTGTTAAGGTATTTTTTTTTTGGTGATAAATTTTCATTAAGGACGAGCATAACTCAAATAGAGCATAAGTAATGTATTGAGAGTTAATAAGTTAAATGTCCTATTACGCAGTAACTATATAGTTATTGCGCAGTTACTGCGCGATAAGATATCTTGGTTTCTATATAGTTGAGTCTACCTGACCGAGTCTAGTCGAGTAATCCTAATTCAAACATTAAGTGATTATGAACTTAATGTCCATGGGTCGACTTGACTCAAAGTGCGGTTAGGTCGCTAACTGAGTTAATCTGACCAACTCTAGTTTTCATCGTGTTTAATACTTAGATCATGTATACTATCATATTATTAGGTGACGCCTGGACATGACATCAATGATTATGCTTGTGCTCGAAGACACCAATTGCAAATCGTAAATATTTTGAACAAAGATGGAACGTTGAATGAAAATTGTGGGATTGCAGATTTAATTGTATGTATATATTCGCATTTTAATGAGAGCTCTAATTTTACTGTTTAAATTTCTAAGTTGTTCATCTAAAAAAGAATAAGGATCGATTTGAAGTTCGCAAAGATATTATAAATCGGCTCCAATCATTAGGTTATTATCGTGACAAGGATGTAAATCATGAAATGAGAATTGCTAAATGTTCAAGATCTGGTGATATTATTGAGCCCATGTTACAACCTCAATGGTATGTATATCTCCTATGTATTAAAGATTACTGGTAAGTTTGTTAATTATATTTGTATTTAAAAAGGTATATTAAGTGCAAAGATATGCAGCTTAGAGCATTACAAGATGTCAAAAACGGAAAAATGCAAATTCAACCTAGCTACCACGTCGAAGAATGGAATCGTTGGTTAGGTGATTGCTTTTCACAAAATGTGACTATTAACGATGTACTCAAACTATTTAGGACGTCCCAAACTATGTGATGAATAATATCGCCTGAGGTATTTACTCCGAAATTATGATATTATTCATCACATATATTTTGGGTAACATCGCTAGTGACTACCCTGTATAATTGAATTTATGAATTTAATATTTGTTTTATTTTATGTGCAGGAAATATTCAGGATTGGTGCATTTCAAGACAATTGTGGTGGGGACACCCAATTCCAGCGTATAATTTAACTTATGAAAAGCAAAAATCAGGTAAATAGTGATATATATATCTGATTTTTTTGACTTTATTCCATTTGACACAGTTCTATCCATATGGACTTGTTTTTTTAGATGAAGGATTATGGTTTGCTGCAACTTCACTGTTTGAAGCTGAACAATTTGTCAAGAATTATTTTCAACAAAACAACATTCCTTTACAAATAAATTATACCTTGAGACAAGTATGTTTAGTCCATTCGCTGAGTTATAAAATTATCGGATCCACTCCATATTATTTATTTATCAATGTGAATGAATGTAATAGGATGAAGATGTATTGGATACATGGTTTTCATCAGCATTATTACCATTATCATCTTTGAACTGGAAAGGTGATCAAAATATTCCCGTAAGAATGTATATTTGTCTATTGAAGATTAATTAAATACTACATATTGTAATTAGGTATTCTGTTTATGAACGAATGCAGGAGGTTTACCCTACGACAATGATAGAAACGGGATTCGATATTTTGTTCTTCTGGATAGCTCGAATGGTTATGCTATGTACTTATTTCTCAGGGAAACCACCTTTTGAAAGAATTTTATTGCATGCAATGGTAATACCTCTATTTTATCTATTCGAAATGTTTATCATAAATGACAATATAAATGTCAAATGTAGGTTCGAGATGCGCAAGGACGTAAGATGTCAAAATCGCTTGGAAATGTAATAGATCCATTAAACGTAATTGAAGGAGTCACATTAGAAGAAATGCATCAAACAATACATAACAGTAGCTTATCGAAATCTGAAATAGAAAAAAGTATTAAACTCTTAACGAGAGAATTTCCAGAAGGAATTAAAGCATGTGGCACTGACTCACTAAGATTTGGTTTGATAAATTATACTCAACAGGTATTCATGTCATTTTTTATGATCAATTTTTTATAATGGTAACTGGTCATTATTAAATACACTAATTTTTTTTGAATAGACTAGGCAAATCAATCTCAACATCTCTTATATTACATCTGTCCTGCATTTTTGTAACAAGCTTTGGAATTTGTTCAAATTCTCTAACGATCGTTTCTCATCCTTAAATTACACCACACATATCACAGAAACAGTATCTTGTGATTCACTTATAGAAGTTAAAAATTATTTAACATTAGTTGATAAATATATTTTATCAAGATTATCTGATACAGTAACAAAATGTCAGCTGGGATTTGAAAAGTTTGAATTATTTGAGGTTACAAAGGTTGTGAAAGATTTCATGGTTGAAGATTTATGCGGGATTTATTTAGAATTTATCAAGCCTATATTGTATGAAAATTCGGAAAATATTGACACAAAGGTAGATTCACTTTTAAATGGATAACTTTTAACTTATTAATAGATTTTTAATTCACGGTTAAACTTTCAGAAGGTTCAGAAAACGACTTTGAAAGTATTAGAAACTTGTCTAGATACGTCCCTTAGATTACTACATCCCTTTATGCCATTTCTAACAGAGGTTAGTTCCCAATATTATCTTTAGTATTTGATCATGATTAATGATGAGATGGTTTTGATGGTTATAATAGGAATTATGGCAGAGTCTTGTTGAAAGATGCGATAATAGTATAAGATTAGGATCTCCAGACTCGATAATGATGTCAAGGTATCCGAAAGTTGCAGATTTTGAGAATCAGAAAAATCATATTGTTGAAGGTGATATGAAGGTAAAGTTTTCTATAATTGAAATAAATGCAAACTGTTTTAGGTGTGGCTGTTTAAAAATAATATATTGAGAATGTTCCTTGATATATATAACGATAGATGGTTTTGAGTGTAATCCATGCAGCAAGGTCACTTCGCCAAAGTAACAATATACCACTTGGACAGCCGTTACCGTTTATCATATGGTCTGATGATCGGGGTTTACTAGATGAACAAGGACCAATTAAGAAATATTTTCAAGATATAAAAAAGTTCATTAAAGCTTCCGAAATTCGAATGATTGATGACAAGCTTCAAGTAATCTTTATATATTATGCTCATTTAGTAATATTTTCGTTATAACCGAATTAATTTGACATCATAAATTCAATTTTATATTTTCTAGAAAGAATCTATGGAGACTCTAATAAAGGATTCGGCAGTAACATTGATTTCTACAAATCTAAAAGTTTACGTTCCAATGAGTTCAATTTTAGAGATTCAAAAAAGTACTGATGTAAATAACAAATCCAAAGCTTCAAGCAATGACCCATCTGGTATTTTCAGAACTGAAAACTTGTCAAAATTAACTAAAAAATATGAGAAAATTGCCAATGAGATTGAAAATTTGCAAGGAAGGATCACTAAAGCTGAATATTTGAAAAAGGTTCCGGAAAAAATTAAGGAGAATGATAGGTTCGTGATTATTATTATTTTTTTTTTTTGCAATCATACATAGATAGTTATAACATGACTTTATTTCCAGGAAAAAATTAATGGTATTAATCGAGCAAAAAATTGACTTGGAAAGGAATATAAAGCTGGCTCAAAGTATGGATGAATATACCCGGAATTAGATTACTGAATTTTTTTGAAAATATTTTATAATTAGAAATAATTTGTTGTTTTGCGATATTGGGAAATAATACAATTACTTTTTTGATGTAAATTCAAAATTCGATATTTAAGCTAAACCGAGTTGAAGTTAACCGAATTTAATCGGGTTGTGTGTCTATATACATGTGGTCGAAATTATTTCGGCTTATTCGAAACTAGTCATAATATAAGCCGTAACGGTGATAGTTTCAAAATAATTTCTATCACATGTTTAGTGCAATACATATTTTTTGTATTCTGATTGGTTAAAATGAAGATTAAATTTAAGTTACCTCAGGAAGGGACGATGAATTCTGCAGTGATAAAATGCCAATTCCGTTCGTGATAAAGAATAGATTCTGCAAAATTCTTCGATTTGGCCAAAATTACAATCTGAAAATTCAATAAGTATATACATCACGTGACAATTATATCGAATTGACTGTATCAAATAATTATTTATAAAGATTTTTTAATCAATAATATTTTCTAGAAAAATCTTTCTATAATAATATTTTTTGAAACCTAAAGAATGTAAAGAGTTTTTTAAAAAACATTTTTATTAAAGATATTTTAATTTATAAACTAATTAATTTTAAAAAATTTAGCCCTTTATATAAATTTTAATTTAATGAATTAATTTCTTTTTTTCTTTAAGTGGTCCTGCTTTTATTCATTAAGACAATATAAAAATACAACGAATCATATAAGTATGTATTATGTCTAAGCTAATAAAAACTCATCCAACATAAATAGCCCAAATGCGATCTGCTATAGCTTGCCAGGCCTTTTTTAATAACTTTATTGACAGGCAGTTACCAGTCTTGTCAAGACCTTTGTTCTACAATAGGATACTACCAATTTGATGATACTTTCTCATAGAAAAAGAAATAAAAATTATGAAAAAAAGATAATAAAAAAAGGTTTATAGAAAACTAAACAATAAAAATACAAGTATTGATATAAAAAAGAGTTTAAAATGTTAAATTATAAACTTAAAAAAATTATCAAAGATAAAAAGAAAACTGCTAACAGATAAAAAATTTCTTGCTATATAAATTAAAATGATATTGGTCTTGATTAAAAAAAATTAAACTAAACAAAAACAAATTGCACTATAGCTTGTGTAAGTGTTTAAAAATTATAAGTAAATAATTATAAAATTTTGTATATTTTTGTTAATTTGTTTTAATATCTTTTTTTTTGATTAAATTTATATTTTGAATTGAAAGCATTGTATTGTATAAAAGTTTTGTATAATCTTGATTCATTATTCAGTTATTTCAGAATTTAGCTTTATTTTATAAAAATTATGCTAATAATTATATTCTGATAAAGTATAAATTTAAAACAAGAGGATGGCGATCCTAGTGTAGTGGTTGGTTGTCATCCTCGGTTCAGAGTTCAAATCCCATTTGCGGTCATCCTTGATATTAGTCAAGTTGGTAAAATGATCTAGTTATACGAACAAATCGACCAATCAGACCAATTCAAATTTGCTAATTTGGTTCATATTACTAGGCCAGTTTGACCAAAAACCTTTTGACCAATGACCAGCAAATCTATATTCGACCACTAATTTGATCAACCTGAATATATTATACTGTTATAAATAACGTTAAATTGAGAGATCTTCTAGTTTCTACTAAGCCGATTTGTATATTAAGAAATACAACACATAAATACTATATAAAATGTGACGTCAGCGGTATTTTTCTGTGGACCTCAAAGTGCAGTTACACAATCCGCAGCATATAATATGAAGTTGTCGATATAAAGTTATTGATATTGATTTCAATACGCACTTTGGGCCGCCCTGAATATCCAATTGTTCATGTTGCGCGGAAAAAAATGGATGTATGCTTTACCAAAAATATTTGTCATTAACATTTGATATTAAATAGCCGAAATATTTTTTTGAATTTACAGTTATCTCGTAAGTTTTGGAGCGACTAATTTATTATTATTGACAGATTGATAAGTTTTACCAGTGAGAGTGCTAATAATTAATTAGCCGAAGGCTTTTAATAACGAAAATCATGGTTCGCACACGGATAAATTATGTGCACTCCTCAAAGTATTTATCCCAAATAACACCCGTGGACGTTATTTCGCGCAAATATGGTAATACCAAAAGTCAATAACAAAGTATTCGGATAAGCTTCAATAGTTTTATGTCATGTATATATAAAGCTATACAAAATGTTCGGAATAAATCGAATTTCATTTTACTTTGTTACTCTACAAAAACGGGTTAAATTTTACAAATGTATAAAGATACGTGAGAAAGTTTATTCAGAAAAAAATTAGTAATATAAAATTTGTTTAAATCATAAACGATGTTAGGATACCGGGCTCTTTAAAAGAATAAATCTCCGGTTTTTATATAAAATTATTACCTATATTTTGTCTTTTAATATTAATTTTTTCTAGAATAATTAATTATTAACCGTAAAAATTTAACGTTAATAAATAAAAATATTACAATTAAGTAGTTATCAATGCTAAACTAAAATAAATAAATATTACAGTTTTAATGAATGCTAAATGTAATAAAATTCATATATATTTAAATCATTCTTCGGAGGCACTCCACCTTCAAATTTAATCTCATTCACAGTTTCAACTGTAACTTCCATATTTTCAACATGTGTACCATTTTTACCGTCCTCAACCTCATCCTGAGGTTTCAACTCTGAATGCTTGTTTAATATATGATCTTCTGTGCCAAAAGTTTCTCTTGAAGCAATAGATAACCTTTTATCTAAATTTTGAATGTGTTCCTGAAATTCGAGAGCCTGTAATATAGTAGTAAATGGTTAAGGTTTTTAGTTAGGATGTGTATGATTCAATGATAAACACTCCGTAACTATGTTTGTACGATACATAGATGAATATAATGATAAGCTTACCATGTTTTCGTCTATGCTCAAATATTTCAGTCTTGAATTGAATTTTAAAACCTCGTTTAATAACCTTACATCTGAACCATTTATAGAGTTCCCGCTTATATTCAACTTTTCCAAAGTATCATTTGTTTTTAACCCAGTCAACTGAACTCCAAGTGATGGTCCCCATTGCTTATCTGGTTCTCCTCGTAAATTCAATTCTTTGATGCATTTGTTGTCCTTTAATAGTTTTCCTATAACTGCGCAAGCTTTTTCTGCCGTCATGAAATCTTGTAGACTAAAAGCAACATTCTTACTGATTTTAATTTGTGGGCATGATAAATCTAAATATTTAATCACTTTGTTATTACAAAATGATGTCAATATCTCAACAACATTATCAATAGTTGTTCCATAGACTGTATCTTCGAGAGAGAGCCAAACAGGTGTCCAATCATTTGAAATAGCATTACAAAATTCTCTATGTCCAGAAGAGGCTCTTGATACATAATTTCCACCTGCCCAAACTTTGACTGTTTCATAATTTGTAGATGCTGCTATTAAAGAAAATATCTTTGCCAGTGCACTACCGTCCAAATTACAATGATCAATTTTAAGATGTTTTACTTTTGAGAATGATGAAGACTGAATATAAGTGTAAAGTGCGTTTAAATGATCTTGATTATTTAAAGAAATTCCTCCAATATCTAATGTTGTAAGTTGGGAATTTCTTAATGTTTCTGACGAAATTACTATATTAGTGTAACTAAATAGTTTTACACAACTATGTAAATTTAATACTTTTAGATTAATTGCTCTTGACAAAAGGTTTGATAGTATCTCTGTTCTAAAGTTCCCCGTATTGTTGGAAAGATTAAACGATTCTAATCTCTCTGGAAAACTTGCAGTAATGGCGGTTATAATTGATTCAATATCAACGCTATTTAATCTACAGTTTGAAATATCCAACTCTTTTATTAATGATCCGTGAACAGCTAATCCAGATGATAATTCCCTTAATCCACCTTCTGATATGTGATTATCATTTAGTATCAATCTCTCTAGCAAAGATTTTCCTGTAGAGAATGCGTTTCCAATAGCTGACATTGTTTCACCAGTAATTCCACATGATGTCAAATCTAATATTTTTAACCTTGGATTTAATGTGAGGATATCATATAACACTACAGAAAGCATATTTGATCCTTCGTGATTGATTGGCCCGACCTGAGCTTGAAGTTCGGAAAGATTTATATTCCGTAAAATTAACTCGTGTAATAACGGATGATGCTTTAGTGAAGTTAGTACAGCAAATAATTCAGCACTACTATATGATCTTTCTTTAGGCGGATACAACGTAAAGGCGTAGAGTAAATTACCAAAACTTTGTCTGGATGCATCACTTTTTGTGTCAAGAATACGTTCAAACGAGAATAAAATTCTTGATTTAGATATTCGGAGAGCATGACATTGAGCTTCAATCATTCTTTCTATTCCATTTTCTTGAGCTACCATTTCTTCAAGTTTAGGAGGTTTAACTCTTTCGGCTGGAATTGATGTTTGTGCACCAAGTGTATAGGTGGAGTATGGCCACCAGAATGTTATAGAATCAATGGCAGTTCGAAGCTCTGTAATGATTGTTTCACTAAATAATGATGCAATATCCATTGTTCGTCGCATGTTTCCATTATTACTCCTAAAAGTTAATCGGAAAGTATCTTGTTCAGTAGATTGAATGTTTGCAAGACACATTATAGGATATTGATATTTTCTTATATCAAATTTTCTAGGTTTCAATTCTTCAAAAAGTAAAGAATAATGAATTTGTTGTTTTGAACTCAATTCATCTTCATCAGCAATGTCAGCTGGGATCAAATAAACATTATTCCTTCCAAGTACGAAAATTGATGTTAATAGTGGTTTTTTTTCATTTTGTTTCTTTTCGTTATCTTTCAATGATTTTAGCAACACTTTATAAGTCAAAAGAGTTTCCTCATTTTCATCAACCCAATCATCAAGTAACCTTAATTCTTGTATTATTCGTGATCTTTGCTGATGTGATACATACGGACCAATGGGGTTGGTATGTTTAATTGCGAGACGCAAAGTAGAAAGCAATCGTTGATGTTTTTGAAAATCTGGAGCTGTAATTGTAATAATATCATGCCTTTTTGGTGACGAGACAAAATATATTCTAATATATGGTTCTGGTACGAGATATTCAGATATAGCATATACGGTATTCAATTTTAAAGCTAGATGCTGAGTGAGCTGAGATTTTATATTTCCTGCTGAATCGATATCATCATTAAAAGCTTTAGCAGCCCTCTCAACATTTTTAAAGTGATATAAACATTCTTGCGTTAAGACAAGATAGTGATTAAAAGACATTTTATTGGTTGAATGCCATTTTGAGACCTTTAATTCGAATAAGATTTGTTTGTTCTCTATTTTGATTTCTTGTTTGTTTTCTTCAAATGTAGTACTGTTTTGCGATTTCGATGTAGAACGGCTATGCGATTTTGATTTTGATTTTTTCGGTTTCAATAATGAATTAAAATTTATAAACTTTGAGAATGAAGGTTTTGGCAATGGTGGTAGATCTTTAGCACCATCAAAAGAATCATTAGTAAGTGTCGTTTCTTTAGAATTATTAGCTTGATCATAGTTATACGACGAAATTAAAGAAAGAACCGATGAACTATAAGTAGATGAGCTACTGCTATAAAAACTCTCATTATTATTCATAGCATGCTGAATTCGTTGTAAAAGTAATCGTTGTTGTTCTTGAAGTTTTGGATTGGTTTGTAGAGATAAGAATAGGTCATTAGAAGTTTGACTTGTGGAAGGTTGGTTGTTACTTTCTGCTTCGACGGCACCATTATCGACAGCATTCACATAAATCTCTATTGGACTCATTCCACCTTGAGTTTGGCTACGATCACCGGGGTATAATTGACATACATCCATTTTCGAGATCGGGTGCAAGTCTCTGTTAAAAAAGAAATTTTCAAGACGACAGCAGGAAATAGACGATTAATGGGTCAAGAACTAATAATTATATATGATGTCTGTCATATGTACTGTACTTGCGTAAATGCACATATTCGGCGGATAGAACGTTGTATTGAGGTTGCCGAAATTAAATCAAAATATGGAATGATTTTCAGAGAATTCACATCATTCTATTAACTTTAAAGCGTACAAAATGCTAAATGTGATCGGTTAATATTATTAATTTTGACATACATGTAGTTGATTATTACATAGTGATAGTCAAAAAGTGATCTCAAATTCACTTTAATATGCGACATTAATTGGATAATGTACGAGCTGGGATTTTCATGGATTTGCTGTGTATAAATAAAATATATTAGACATAGTTTGCACAGTTTCTTGGAATAGCGGTAGATTAGGTACGTGATTTTCACGAGGTAGAATTTCTGTGCGAAACAGAAGACTGGCTTCTATGCACATTTGATGATCGAAATTAATGATTCCTAGTTTATTAATCCTGATTTTGGATACTTGAAATTACAAACTCATGCAAAATTAATGACAAATGTTAAGGGAATAGATTCTAAAAATGTATGTTGTAATCAATTAATTGACTCATAAATTGATATGAGTGTGTACATAGCAAAATCATGCTTGGAACATATATATGGGCTTGGTACTGTAAAAAGAGAGTAAATTGACAAAAAAAAAACAGATTTTCAGAAAATCTTTGTTATAAATTTTATAATAAATCATAAGAAATTGTAAATTTTAAAGAGTTATACTGCATAATTTTTATTAACATAATTTCTTTTGTGTTTTAAGTAAAAAATGATTCTAATCTTATTCTAAATTAATTTATGCAAAAAGATCAATTTACTCCCTTTTTGCAGCACCAAGCCCATATTATACATACTCGCTTAATCTAATAAAAATTAATTTGAAACAAAAAAAAAGATTATATGTAGCAAAAAATAGCATTCGCGAACTATTGGCCAACACTGAATATTATGTGTATTTAAACTCATTGGTTTAATAATTAGGTGTGGTTCGTGACGTACACTTATTTACACCCAAACAAGTAAATTTTCTTATGTAGATCGCAAGATCAGGTTTAACGGCTGGTTTAACATGAAACGAAGGCTTTTTAAAAAATAGTCGGCAACTCAAAATTCTGCCTAAGAAATCACCTTTTACGTTCTAATAAAAAAATTCCTCGCAAAATTTTAAGCATTACTCTAACCCCAATCGTAACCCTAACGCGTGACTCTCACGCATATAAAAAATATGTTTGGTTTTTCCTTTTTTGGGGTTATATTAAATCATTTCGGATAACAGGAGTGACTGTTCAAAATTCGTAGTGATTCCGAAATAGTTAACAATTTATAAACCATTTTTTTATACATTTTACAAAACTTCTTTAAAAGCTCGGGTAACTTAACTTTCTATGAGACGAGAGTAAATTTAACGGATGAATTAATATTTCGCTTCGCTTTATAACAAATTCTTTGAATCCCCGTGAATCCCACGACTTTTTTTACACTATCTGATTGGCCGATTTACTAAAATTCGAAATACTAATCATGTGCAACTATATCGGAATTGTCTACAAATTTGAACTGTCACTCCTGTTAATCAGGAGTTAATGACACTCAATAGCGGAGAACCTTATTACTATTTGGTACTTTGTTCGGCAATTTGGGATTTGGCATTTGACGAAACTATCGGGTTTGGGTGATACCATTAGTTTGTATCACCGGCGCACAAGTAAATCGTAGTTGCTTTGTTGGCGAACAAATTTATTATAGGGTTGGTTTTAGTTTGCAATAAGCAATTATGCTTAAAAATGTCCAAATGACAAAATCAGCTGATATGAACATTTTATCTAAGCAGTAAACAGATAAAAATATTAATTGATAACAATTACTAAATTTTTGCTAGGAAAGTCAAAAATTAACTGTGACCGAATATGACCTAAATGACTAAGTGACCAAGTCACAGGTCATATAGTCATTTCAATTTATGCTACCTGATGTGACCATATACATGTATGCGAACCTTCTTCTGATTGATCAAAAACATACAGTCGCATTTATACTTCAGATTGTAACGGTTTACAAGTGAAAAAATGGCAGTCTCTATTACGTCACTTGATCATCATTCATAATACACATGACCTACAGCCATCGTTCACTATGATCGCATAATGACCAGTGTTCATAGTATAATTGGTTGTTTAAATCAATTTAATTTTATATTATTTATACAGTTTAAAGTACTTTTTAAAAAAAATAAAACTATGAAGAATAAACAAAAAAGAAATATATAGAAAGTTTTATTAAGGTTGTAGGACTTCACTATTATATAATCAAAATCCCTTTTTGTAGTCAGCATAATAGATAGAATTGGGTTATTACCATGCTAACTTCTCTAAAACAAAAAGGGATTTTGATTATTTTTAATAGTGAGTCCTACAACCCTGATAAAACTTCCTATATATTTCTTTTTTGTTTATTCTTCGTAGTTTTATTTTTTTTAAAAAGTACTTTAAACTGTATAAATAATGTAAAATTAAATTGATTTAAACAGCCAATCATACGAAAGTCT